CAGCATTCCAAGATTGTTTCTGCCTTTCAGGCTATGTTTCTCTCCATACTTCACCTCAATGTCACCACTTTGGACCCACTCGTGCTCTACTCTATCAGTGCCAAGGTATGTCTGTAGGATCATGTCCGTAAATTGAACATATATACCTTAGAAATAACATTGTTACTTATCGAGTTATGTCGCGTATCCAGTCTCCCAGACCCTAGAGTATAATACTAACAAAATTTAAACTGTAGACAATGACTACAGAATGCAGAAGAATCTACTTTACACATGCTACACGTACTTCAATACGAACTACAGATTTGACTATATATGTATATGATGTATATGCATATTATAAGGGTATTATGGTAATAAACTTAGGTTATAAATTCACAATTATTTCCATGTGCAATGATGGAGAGAAAATGGTGTCTCTTTCAATATTTATGGCATTTCTATATATAGATAGGGTTGTCTTTACATTTAAATTTAGGAAATATTCAAAGGTGCATTAGTATTAATTTTGCAAATTCTTGTTGCAGGTGGAAGAAGGTTGCCAGCTAAATTCAGCAGATGAAATAGCTGGTGCAGTTCACCACATGTTAAGAATAATTGAGGAGGAAGCTATCCTATGTTGTCTATCCTAGATTGAATATTGAACTTTTCTGTCTATTCTTGTTCAATTTCGAGTAGGTCAACTGTAATTTTGTTAAGGACTAATGTAGGACCATTAGCTAGGCGTTCCATATCTAGCTCTTCTGCTAAAAATAATTAGAGTTTAATAATTCATATAGAAAAGGATTAAAAAAACTACATGATGTGTTTATTCTGGATGCGTTGGAGGTCTGATAGTCTAGCATCTTGGAGTAAAAAGTCTCTTAACATTTCTCTCTAAATCTTCCTAAGATCAATAGCAGAAGAATTGATGTCAGCACAATCGGAGCATGCAGAATTAAAATCGCAAAAATTGAAAAGTCTGTACACGAGATGCATATTTACAGCCTTACTCCATAGCCAACTGCAATAAAGAAGATATAGGAAACATTCAATATGATTTCTGAAATGAGAAATAATATAGATGATTTTAGAGAATGTATTTAACATAATCGGCTTGTTTTGAATCCCTTAGAGATAGCCATAAATACAACTCAATTGGAGTCGAAATCCCATCTATGCTTTGCTAGTGTTTCGATTAAAAAAAATATATAAAAATCTATTGGAGTCCAACCGTCTGATAATTTATTTATTATTTATTTTTTGTAAGCATGTATAGTTTTCTCCTTTGTTTGATCTGGGAAATTGGTGCCTATTTTTCAAGTTCATGCTCGGCAGTGATGGATGCCAGGCTTGTAACCAATCTTCGAACGAGTTTTGAGGAAAGGCTTTTGTTATATCTTGGAAGATATTGAAAGTGAATTACTCAAGCTTTAACTTTCTATCAAACGAAATGAGAGATAAATTCTACGTTTTGTATTCAAGCGTAGAACACTAGATTGCAAGTTAAGTGAATTGTACTATTGCTGTAACATATAAGAAGATTTCATGGGTCGAGACTGATATTAATATTGGTTTCGTAGCCTAAAGTCTTGAATTCCATTTGGGTTTTGAAAGTGCTGACAAACTAAACTCATTGTTGTGGGAATTCAGTTTATTAGCCTTTAGTCTTGAATTTCACATCGGAAGTTTAGTAAAGAGGGTCTCTTTTGGCAACTATAAGAAGAGCCCTTTTATTATACAAAGGTTAGGAAAGGAGCAGTGGAGCTCTTTGGTAAGCAACGATCACCATTTGTTTCCATTTTTTTGTTGATATTGGTTTAGGAAGGTCTAGCCTCCAAAATCTCTTAATTGTGGGTAATTTTTTTGTTTCCCTAAACCTTGTAATATTCCTCTTTTGAAGTTAGTGAAGTAGTTTTGAAGTGTGTCCAGGAAATCGATAAGTTTTATTGAATTCTTATGTCTCTTTTTTTCTTCTTTTCTTTTTGCATTCAATATTTCTCTAACAAGTGGTATGAGAGTTGACGATTTGACTTGGGAGTTATTTACTATTGGGTAAAATAGTGTTAAAAGATGGCGGAAGGTTTCTCGTCTACGTGCTAAAGACGATTGCAGCCAATAAAAGATTCGAGGTGCAAAATTCGATGGTACCAATAACTTAGTATGTGGCAGTATGAGGTGTTAGACATCGAATATCCACGAATTATTCCCTACGAATAATTCATAGAACACA